ACTAAATCCTCTCACTTCAGAAACATTAGCATCCTAGCAGGCTATTTTCACCGCCTTCGACGCTCGATGCGAGCTTCCGAAACTCTTGGCTGGAGAGTCCGACAATTTGGTCCGGCGGGCGCTAACAAACCTGCAATAAGTTCTTCTGCTGGCTGACCAACTATCTCGACCAACTCATTCCCAACTCATAAACCTGTAACACCTTAGATTTAAGTCAAGTGTGTAGGTAGGCGGAAACTTCAGTATGACTCACTGAGTCGCTGACTGCCAGCTGTCCAGCACAGAATGTCAGCAGCGCACACGCTCCGGCAACTGCCCATGGCCACTTTCCAGCTCATTCCTCCGGTGTTGCGTTAGAAAAACCTGATCATTTTATGACAGATATGCTTGCAAGCGGGTGAAAGTTAAAGTATGACCCCGACAAGCGTTGCGTCATCACCTTGATCGGAGTTTACACGTCTTTGACTTCCCGCCGCCTCCAAGTGACCGCTTGAAATTGTTGCTCGCATCGACTGAGCGACTCAAGACTGCCGAAGACTAGGCGACTCTTGCCCTTGCCGCTTCCGCAGCGGTACAGGCTGCACTCGAGGTCGTTGTAGCCGCAGCAAGTACGCGTTTTAGTTGAACTTCCGGCGGCTGCCTGTTGTTGGAGCAACTTGCCATGGATCACTCCGTCTTGATCGCTTCATGCTCCTACAACAGCCACGATGTTGTCTCGTTAGAGTGAGATGGTAGCCGGTGGATTCGCAGTCCTGCCGACTTCAACGCTCATTCATAGCGAGACCAGGGTCAATATTGAACGTTTTGTCACTTGCGAGAGCAGCGCCTTGTTCAGCACTCGCAGTCGAGGTGCAGATAGTGCGCAGAACGGTCAAGTCTGGCCGGGTGAACCTGAATTTGGCTGCAATCTATCTCTGACAGACATTTGCCCAAAGCACCGCACTTGAGCGTTCTTTGAGCGCCCCATTTTTTTTTGAAGACCTACCCCTTGGTCATCATCAGAAGGATGGTCCAAGCTCACAGCATCTGTCATATTCCCGTTCAGTAGTAGGCCAGTCTCCATGATGGCTACAGTCAAAACGTCGTAGCCAGGCGCGCGACCATCGCCTATCTCATCGCGACGCGCGAGATCCTTCCTCCTAACAGGCCGTAGACCAGGCAGGGCATCATATATTGCCCCCGTCTGATTCACTGACGCGCATTCCCCCTTGCCTTTGCTCTTCTCACCCGCTCGTCTTGTTCGTTACGCGGTGCCGCGATTCCGACTCTCCTCTGCGCATACCAAGGAAGACGTCGATCTCATCACACCCCGGACGCGTGCAGTTGCGGACTCGCGCGCTTTCGATCCGACGCCTTCGTGGGTGCTCCTGTTATAGTCACAGGGCCATCATACGGACCACTCCCTTGCGCGCAAACAGACCGTCAGGATCGGTGGCGTCGTCGTTGTATGCCTTCCTGGCGTTTGCGACCTTGTCTCCAAGCTTCCGTTGCCAGGTAAATATCGGCTGACGCCTGGTTCATAGACCATATTCCCTGAGGCTGAATGAACTATCAGGCACGTCCGCCCCTATGCCAATGCCTGTACCTTCATCAGAGTCGCTAAAAGCGGCGTCCAACTCTATCTCGCGGTTGACTTCCGCTCCCCCCGCTAGTGGCTCGTCATCCACTCAGATTGACGCTCTCACTTCGCCGAAGGCGTTTCTGACTGATTCAGTACCCTCACCGCCCACCAGCGCAACCAATTCGATCTCATCAGCAGACCCTACTCGAATCGCTGCCCAAGTTTCATCGCCCTCGGCAAACGAATTCGGCCGGTTCATAGCGAGGAGCGAGCCCATGTCTGCAGGAGTTTTTGCTGCAGTCGTTGTCCTCGTTTTGTTCGTGCTGGCGTTGGCAGCCTTTATCGTTGTGTGGCTTACTCGACGGCGGCGGCGGCGGCGTCAGCAGATTTCTTCTGGCTTTCACGAGCTTGAGGCTGCTCGTGGCTCAGGAGACTCGACGCAAATCGGTCAAACCAAGAGCTGGGAGGAATACAGCAGGCCTAAAGCCATGAGCCAGGGGGTTCGCCTTGTGTACGGACGACCTTCTTGCAGTGATTCAATGCCCATCTTCCACACCTCACCTGCTGGTTTGGCGCTCCCGAGCGACTTCCACGCTGACAACGTGCCGAAGAAGGTCACTTTTGCCAACTCGCCACCGCACCCTTTGCCTCCTCGACGGCAATCGTTCGCGGACAGTATGCGCTCTCATCCATACTCTGCGCAACAAACATCTCATGGGCGAGAAACTTCAATAACCGAATTGGCGGCCTTGTTTTCCCACCGTATGGATGATTCCCGGCATCCTTTCTCCATAGACTGGACAACACACGGGACCTTCATCGATGCTCAGACGACGCATCTGCACGCACTCCCCCCACCACCGCCACCCGCGGCCCGTTCAGTAACATCTTTACTGGCATATATTGCTCCAGCTTCTCCCACTCGTTCATCTCGGGCATACACACCATCCGATCCTTCTCCACTGCAAGGACATTATTCTTTGCCCGTGGCCCCTTCGCTCGCACATTCGCCCGCCCGCTCAACGAAGAGTATCTCTCTAGTTTCACACGAGCCTCGTCGCGATACATTCGGATCTGACAGGCCCGTCCTGTTGCCACCAATGCCGCCGTCGCCATCTTCAGCGAGCATGAGTACCGTCAGCCATGGACCGTCACGATCCTCCAGCAAAGCGTCCGAGATTGGCACGGCCGCGCGTGCTACCAAGCGCAAGGGCTCGCGTCAGAACAGTCTCAACAGTGGCGCGCAACGGACCGGCAGCAAGAAGAGCACCGGTGGACTGTCACAGAGACCGTCCAAGTCCAAGACACGGTCAATCGAGGCTCCCAATGCTGCTTCGCGGTCAAGTCACACCACGGAACACTATGCTTCGATGCTCACCTCTGAGTCGATGTTTTTACAAACAGACCCGGGTGCGAGTACGTGTGATGGGCATATAGCGAGTGTGCGAATATCAAATGCCACGTTTGGCGCCTAGATCGTTTCCCACTAATGTCTTCTCGTGTTTCATGAGTATACACAACGACAATCATTTGACAGCGAACATTGAGTGGAGTTGATGCAAGTTGCAACTGAGCTTAGCGGAATTGACGGGTCGAGACAATGGTTTGACACAGGCTATTTGTGAAAATAGCACATGTCTGGTTGATACGCAAGTACGCGTGGCTTCTGCGTTATCTTCGACCAGGACGAGGAAGAATCGGTGCACGCTTTCAAGCCCGACTGTCACGTCTTGACTTCTTCAATTCCGACGTCGATGTCAAAACCGCAGCAGGCGCAGAAATCTAAAGATCAGGCCGCGCGCTCGTACGGAGACAGCATCTCCAATCGCGCGCAGAAGCCCAAGAAGCAGAAAATCAAAGATTCTGTGACTAGATCAAATGAGACTGAAACACCTGCACCATCTTCGAGCAAGGTCTCACAGGTACCAGCACGACTACCAAAGTCAGCGAAGTGATTGCCTGAAAAGAGCACGCAGGCTGCCCACGCACCGTCAGCCAGCAATAATTCTCAAAAGCAGTCGTCTGGTGGTGCCGATCGCCGCGTCGTCTTTGAATCCACTTTCGATACACCTTTCCGCGTAGATTGGTACGTCATTGATTCATACAATGGTCTTGAGACCTTATGTTGGTTCTCACTTTGGTTTTAGGCCAAACATCGAGCCAGACCTTGTCTTAGCTTTTCTGCTCGCGTTCACTAGCGCACTCGATTCTGCAGGCATCGCCAACTATCAAGCTCAACGTGGAAGGCATGCTGGGCGTGTCCGAAACCGTGATGAAAAGACAGAGGACGCCGTTCCCAACTCTGACTCGAAGTCGCGCAAAAAACGCAAACGTGCCGCCGACGAGGTCGTCGGATCGAATGCTTCAGATCTTTCTCTAGCTGGAGAAGATGCTGGCCGTCCCGCGAAGAAACGTAAGCGCGATATGGTCAATCAAAATGGCGTAGCAGCAACCACGACTGCTCTCAATGACCCGCCGCCAGACGCCATTCCTCAGCCTTCCTTACTCTCGCACATCCTTGTTGGCGTCAACAACGTGACGCGTCGACTTGAAGACCAGCTTCAGCAGCTCTCCGCAACGAAGAAAGGATTGAGGACTTCTTCGCTTCCCAATTCGCAATTCAAATACATTCTCGTTTCTACCGGGGACATAGATCCACCTCTCCTGGTCGCACATATCCCGCACTTGGTTGCAGGCTGCAACTCGAACTCTCTAGATGAAAGACAGCTCGTTGTACTTGTGCCGCTACCGAAAGGCTCAGAGGCGAAACTGGCACGAGGATTTGGGTTGCCTCGCGTGAGCGTTGTGGGCATCACGGTGAGCTCGTCAAGCTTGACTTTGATCGGTTAGAGCTCACGCGGTCGAAAAGGCGTCAGCCCCAGCAGACCTGTTGGCGGCATTGCATTCAGCGGCTACTACATTCCCCATCGTTCGCGCTCCGTGGCTAGTTATGCCGTCGCATCCTCCCCTAGAAACCAAGCCAACAAGCACAGACGCTATGGAAGTGGACACGCCCTCGAAAGACACCATGCCCGTTATCCACGTCCCCACACACATCAAGCAACTGCGCACGACCGCCCCGCGCAACATGATTGCGGCGAAACGCGCTCGGCAGGAAGCGCGCAAGGCGTTCAAGGCGAGGCTGGTGCTGAATCCGGCCGAGGCAATGCGTAAGACGATGGCAGGAGGCAAGCCGGTGAGGAAGCAGCGTGTTGTGGTCACGAGCATGTCAGCTACCGAGGCGCCGCCGTCTTGACAGACAGATCAAGAAATACCACGCAGCTTTCTCGCCGTATATTCTTAACGTATCTATGATTGACACTTCATGCTCTCTAAAACGTTTCTAAAATAGCTCATAACGGTGTAAGGGACAAAAAGCCCAACGGCTTTGAGAATGCCCTTCCAAATCATATTGAATGGCAAATTAACGCTCCTGCACGACCGGCTGGTCTAATGGAATGACGCTCCACTACACCTTTTGGAGCTAACGCTATCCGGAGCAGTGTGGGTTCGAATCCCGCGCTGGTCGATGTAACCTTTTTGCCCTCCAGGGCCGTGATTCCGTTGACCAATGCCAAGCGCAATGTTCCCTGCGGCTACATTGAAGCCACGACCGATAAATTGCAGTAGTGTTCATCACATCAACTCTTGTATGCTGCCAATAGCTATCTGCTGCCACGGTCACTGGTAAGGAATAGGCAGTTTCCATATCAGCGTTGGGTGTCAAATCCTCGTTGTTTTTGGGACGACTGGCTGGTCTAACGGAATGACACTCCATTTTCGCTCCTTTGGAGCATCAGACCCGGAGTAGTGTGGGTTCGAATCCTGCGCTGGTCGATTAAATGTTTTGCACTCGGCTCCTGATTCTACTGTCTTGATCGAAGTCGAGCGAACTTTCTGGCACCACACCTAGAGACAGGTGACGGTTTCGCTACAGCCGCTCGATTGACCGAGATAGAACCAGCGGGAGAAGCTGAAGGAAACGACCGTGAACACCTGTAAGCATTGCACATTCGCAGGTGACATAATGTAATTTTAGAACTCTAGGTATCGATCCGACAAGATGCGACTCTATATCACGACACCATCATAGGATAGTGAGAACCTGGTTCAACGCCCCTCGCTGCGTTCCTCTCTCCCTCTCTCGCATCAGCCTCCGCCTTCTTAATAAGCGCATTACAGTATGGAATATTGAACACAGTCGTCGGCCACCGTACACCGTACACAAAAGGGCCGTCACTCTGATTCCCCACCAGGCTTGTGCACGGTACGGGCACTCGCACGGTCCGAACTTGATACTGCTCAAGTTACAGTGGTTATAGTGAGCACAACAACACAGGGCACACTGCCCCTAGCGCCAGCGGAACATTCGTAGAATGTGAGAGGTTCGTAGCGACCGGAGCTGGCGGCATGGCTTGCGCGAGATGTGACCGCGACATTTGGAAGCGGCGACTCAACGACGTGCGTAAATGGGGGAGGGGCCAAGGACATAATATCGCAGTAGCCCTCGTATGCAGCCAATATCGCGGGCTAGCCGCGCTGGTAATAGACGGCTTTCAGTCGTGCATTAGACCTGTGAGCGCCTGCTTCACCTAGCTGGTTGCACTCTCCCGCTCCAAGACCGCATTGTACATCGGCGAAGCAGAACGCGTCGACTCGGACGGGTGGTACGGGCCCGTAGAGCATTCCCCTGTTTGACAGGCAGGAAGTCTCTGCATTCGTTAGTTCGGACATGCATATTGGCGTGCCGGACGACATGTCCACTGCGCTTGTCCCGTTCAATGCGACTGAAGCCGGTGAGCTCGCCATGCAGAAGCCCGAGGAGCTCGGCGGCGTCTGGATATCTGAGAACGATACGTAGGACAGATGAGGCGGAGCTGTTGAAGTACGATTTACGTGTTGCAACAAGAAGGCAATCGGCACCGGCCGGACTGTGGCGAGCGAGACCTCAACTTTCATGTCGTATCGATAACTCGTGTTTCCTACCAAGCCGTGTATAGCATGCGAATATGGATGTCGCGGTGTATGTTCTTAATGGATGGGGGATCCAGCTCTGGGACCGGGCAGAAAAAGAGTATGTGAAAACGTTCGGAAGCTAGCTGGTGTACAACGCAGGAGGCTACGCGCAAATTATAACAAGAAAGAGATGCCGCAGCCACTACGTTGGCTGATTGTGGTGGGGTCACGCTTACGAGTACATCGTGGCGTTGTTGAAGATGAGGATGTTGGGCGTCTTGTCCGGGAGGTCCGACAGGACACCACGCGTGCCGAGGGCAATGAGCGCCTTCTTGAGCTGCGCAGGCGTAATGCTGCCTGGACTGCCAGGGATCGGCGCTTGCGTCTCGATCGGGAGCTGTGCGTTGAGCTGGCGGCGGATGAGCCCGCTCAGCCAGCGCCCACCGGGGATGTAGGGCATCCAGTTGAGCAGGAACGCGGGCTTGGCATCCGCGATGGCGGTCATGATCGCCGTTTGCTCGTGGCTGAGCTGGGTAGACAGATGGAGACCGTCGGTGGTGCTCTCGCTCGCGACGGCCGGGTCGAACTTGTCGCTGGGGTACAAGCTGAGAAGGTATGCAAGCAGACCGGCAGTGTGTGGGCTGGCCATGGACGTGCCCGAGATCGAGTTGGTCGCGGTGTCGGAGCCGATCCAGGTGGAGAGGATGTTGAGGCCAGGGCAAAGATGTCGACGCAGGAGCCGTAGTTGGAGAAGTAGGCACGCTCGTCGGAGACGGTGCTGGCACCAACGGTCACAGCCTTCTCGGCAGCGGCAGGCGAGTAGCTGCAGGCGTCGCGGTTGTCGTTGCCGGCGGCAACAGCCATATGAAGGCCGCCATCGACGGCGGCATTAACAACATCATCGAGGGCACGGCTCTTGCCACCACCGAGAGACATGTTGGCGACCGAGCCCTTGTGAGCGGACTTGCCGGTCGACTTGAACTCTGACTGAGCATCCTTCATCTTCTTCTGAGCAGCCTCACTGGCCCAGGTGACACCACCAATGACATCAGCCATGCTGCCAGAGCCGTTGTCACCGAGGACCTTGACGGCGATGATGTTGGCAGCCTTAGCGACACCGTACTTGGCGGAGCCAATGGTGCCGGCGCAGTGGGTACCATGGCCATTGTTATCGACATCCGACGCATCAGTAGGGATAGTCTTGCCCCAGACGGCGCGACCCTCGAACTCGACATGCTTGATGTTCACGCTGTGGGCAGCGCATTAGTGCCAGGAAAGTTACTAGTGGATAGCCACACGCACCCAGTATCAATAACGTAGACATCGACACCATCGCCACCTTCGGGGTCATACGAATACCTGTTGAAGGTGCCAAGCGACAGCTTGTTGCGGTGGGAGATGCGGGCAAGTCCCCAGGTAGACGAGCGCTGGACCTTGATCTGGGTAGCGAATGAGCATGTGCGTACGAGATAGGCAGTGTCCGGGGAAAGTGCTTACGTCGGAAGCAAACACGACTTGGTCCTGCTCAATGTAATCGACTTCTGGCATTGCGCGGAGCTGCTCGAGCGCGGCGGGCGAGAAGCGGCCAGAATAACCCTTGACGTGGTTCGAGTCATAAACGTGGCGAATCCCGCCGGAGACGGTCTGCACGTCGACTGGGTTCGCCGATAGCGCGTTCTGCGCCAGCGCCATGTGGCTCGATACGACAGCTCCCGGCTTAAGCATTACAATGTACGAGTCGTTGATCGCGTTGTGCGCGACGTGTGCCGGAGGGGCGAACAACGGTGCCAACGTCATCGTTCGTGCTGCGCCTGCGGGCTGCGCATGGGAAGTCGACAGTGGGCTCGCGGCCACACCGAATGATACGAGCGCTACGCTCAAGAGGGATGCAATCATTACACGCGCGTCGGAAGGGTGGGGGGCTCAGGGAGGGAAGAAGGAGAGCGAGTTGCCGGGGAAACCCGCAGTTGCCTTTTTAGGCTTGCCGTTAGGCGCTCGTCACCGGCTTGCGTGGCCACAGCACACGAGCACGCAACGTGCTCGATGAGGTCTATTGTCAGGCTCGTCGCCCCACATTCCGTGCAAGAAATGAGGTCAATTTTAATGATTGTCGCTCAAAAGGGCCCCCATCTGTCTTGCTGTCCACGGCGGCGCCGCGTCATGCCTGAAAAATCACGTTGTGACCTGTTGTGCACGAGGCAATGACTCCTCCATTTCAGTTCACTTCTAATAGTCATTAGGACTAGCCACAGGAGAATAGTCACAGCCTCAAGTTTTCGCCGGCGAGCGCTATTTCGTTTTGTAATGCAAACGACGGCAGGCAACACAGCCCAACCCCCATGTCAGTAGTTCCGTCCGACAGCAGCTTGAACCCCCGTGACCTTTCACAGCAGCCGGGCCATAACGAAACGGGGGAAACGGTTGGTTTCACTTTCAATTCGAGACTCGTAATGAAACTGTCAGTGCAACTTTCAATTCATGAGTCTCCGTCCGCAACGCGTAGTCTATGGGAGGGTACAGCGGCCTGGGCGGCACGTGCAAGCAAGACTTCGCGCTTCTCCACTTTCTGACAAGTTAGAGAACATATCAGTTAGGTGTTCGAGGATGGTTAGATATGACCGGCACGCACATCCTTCGCAGCCTGCTCGTTCTCCTCCTGCAAGCAGATGTTATGTCAGCAGGCAGACACTAGTGCGCGATCCGTAAACGTGCCTTCTTCTTTGCGTACTCGATTTGATTCTCGTACAGCTGAAAAGCAAGCGTGAGCGGCCAGGAGCGCCTACCACTGCTCACCCTGGCGAGTTCACCTCTGCAATACGGGTCTTTCGTCAGCTTGTGCAAGCGCCACGACGGCCGCATTATCACGTGCCTTTGCCCCGCTTTATCCTGTCCATGGGCTGGAAGTAGAATCTGGCGGGCCAGGTCAATATATCGGATTGCTGGCGCGTTCTCGTAAACGCGTTCTCTCTCTCTTACAAGTGCGCCATCCCCCATGTTGTAATGCCAAATAGTGTGAGCACAATTCCCCTGTGCACGATAGAAGACATGGCGACAGGCGGTTTACGCGCAGGAGGCATGATGGATTGGATACACGAGACAAAATCGCATTGGACGTGTTAACTCCGACAATTCAGAGACCATTTTCCCAAAGAACGTATCAATATTGACAGCTACAAGTATATGTATGATGTATTCTTTTTCGAGAAAAAGTCCCCAAGAGAAAGACAGGGGTAAGTTTCAGACGGTCGAGTCACACGCGCCAGGACGAGAACTCCAGTTCTAGTCGCGCTGGACCATAGACAACATATAATCCGCGACTGCCCCGCCCTCATACGTGCGAGTCGGAGAACGTGATGGTCATTCGGAGTAAGGTCGCGTTCGGAGCCTACCGCAGATACTTCCCGATACCACCATGTCTCAAAACTCTATATCTTCGCAACTTTTTTCCCGCGGGGCTCCCGTGAACATCAGGGGTCGACAGGCGCAGTGCAGGTAAATCACCGACTGTATCAAGTTCGTCGTAAAGCTGAAAGTCGATTGAGCAGAATTAGCCAGGATACGACCCCGCTAGCCTAAGAGTCTGGCTATCCTATGATGCTGTCGGTGGCGCTGTGTTGACGCGTCAAATGCGAAGCCTGTGGCGTAGTAGCCCACGTTCCTTAGCTTCCGCCCACCTGCGCCCTTTCGGAGCAATGACTGCTGCCGGATTCGAGATCACCCCAGGCCTGCAGAAATACGCATAGGCAAGCAAGGCACTTCATCTAAAGTAGCCCAGCTTGGCCTTAGTACATCTCATGTGGAGGCGAGTACGCCATACGCCGAGGTTATATCGTGTTCACATCGTGCAGCACCCCAGCTTATGCATTGACTCTGTGTAGTTG